AAAAATTATGCTAGAGCTTTTCTCAGAACCAGAACCTGAAATTGCTAGATAATTTCACAAATAATTACAGAGAAACTGCAAGTAACACATTTTCAAGTAGAAATGTTCAAGTAGAAAAACTGAAATAGTATTTTCTCGAAAAATGCACCCCAACGATCTTTATTTTAGTTGCAACTTTGAAAATATTTTTCACAGTGCTCATCACGTCAATTATAAACATGTTCCAAAAGGTTTGAGACCCAGAAAGTGTCCAAATACTCTACTTTTTGTCATTATTTTGCATAATAAGTTAACACAACTCAAACAATTTGAGATAATCAGTTACATCAAAATTTTTAGTTAAAGTTTAAGTAAGAAGAACGGTCAGATTGTTATTTTGTGCTCATACATGCTAATTGCTCGCAACTTGAAATATTTGAGTAAACTACTGTAACTCATACATTTTGATTACACTTCAACTAAAAGTGATCATGTAATCTCAACTTAAATATTTTAGTAGTGGAAATTTAAGCTATAACCAGCTAATTCATTAAATGCTAAGATGCTAAGTAACACAATACTTTGATTAGCATAGCAATAGCTTAATGAGTAGGCCTATTTAACATTTAACATATAGGCTACCTGCTCAAATTGTCACAAACATAACAGAAATTCAAAACATTAAACACTACGAAATCTCCCATTTAACAATCTTGCAAAAAAAAACATATAACAATTAATTTTAGCATTTACTCTCCCTTTTGAGTGCCATGGCAAAGCATGCTGGGAAATAGAAATCCCCAGCCCAGTTTCCCAGTTTCAGTAAAAATTTAAGTTCCTCAAAATTAAAAGAAACAAGTTCATTAAATTCGAAACAATTAAAAAATTCAGATGACTTACGATGTGTCAGTTTTGTGAACTCCAAAAAAAAAATAAAAATTCTGATCTTGTTTGTTTAAGTTTGGCCTACTCAAACCAATTAATTATTTGGGACGTTAACAGTGTATTTCTATTTTTTATTATTTGAAACCCAACATTATTTATATTACATTTTAGAATATTAATATTCTTTAAAAGTGTTTTATTTCTCTTTGAAATAAATACCACTTTGTATGATATTTTGTTATATAATGTAAAAACATTTATACTTTTTAAGATTTTATTTAAAAGATTTTGGTTTATTTGTACATGTGATAAAACAAATACCCCATATAAAAATACATCTGTTCAGGTCCCAACCCATTTATAGTAGCACACATGATTTCTTGGGGGCTTGTGATTTGGGGTTGAGGAAAGCGTGAACAGCTTCCGTAAACACTTCCTTCACCCCATCCTGGCTGAGCGCTGAACACTCCATGTACTTGCTGGCCTGGATTTGTCGGGCCAGTGCCACCCCCTGCTGCTGGGACACCACCGACAGGTTCTTCTCCTTGAGCTTCTTCAGCACCTCTGGATCATCTCTCAGATCCTTTTTAGTCCCCACCAGCAGGATGGGAACGTTAGGACAGTGTTCTGACACCTCGGGGTACCACTTTAGCTTGACATTCTC